GGATGTGATCAATTTGTCCAACCAGTATCGATTTCTAGTTTCCAGTTATTGATCACTCTGTTTCTCTCTCCCTCTCTCTGTTACATCATAAATAGATTGCCTCAATATAGCTTTAGATCACGTCAAATTATTCAGGTTACATGGTACTTGGAGGTGGTCGACAGGAAACCCTGGACCCGGGTTTCGTGCTACTTGGCACTCGTCAGCAAGGTGTACCTGTAATCTTTGAGGGAACTGGTGCTCCCTGGCGGATTCGATCCCGTTCACCCAGCTTCACAGTCAGAGACGTTACCACTGAGCTATCCGGATTTCCTGCCAACCACCTCCAACCACCATCTAAACTTACAATAGTGCCCACGGTGTCGGGTCACCTAGACTGGTGGCCACATTGCAACATGATCGATAGCATTCGATCTGCACTAATAATAAGGACTAGACACGCATGACATTGGTCACCCAGTGATCAATAAATTGTGATTATTCAGGTTACAATAAAGAGCAATAGAGATTGATCTATTCAAGTCTTAAATAATAACAATTTGATATTAGAAATCATTGTTCAAATATATGATTATTAGCTTCCAGGTTTTCCATTGTGGTCTAGCTTCAACTGACTCATGATCTTAACCATTGAAATTACTACAATCTCCACAAAACCCCTTCTGATATTAGCTTATTATTATCATTAGAGTAATCTCTTGTTATATCATTTTATCACCTATTCTCTTTATTATTATTATCATGCTATCATTTAGGGTGTAATTCAAGCAAAAACTTGAATGTAGTTTACATTCATATCCATATGTATTCTTAAATAAGATCTATATATTATACAACTTATTGTAGTTCTTTAACCTTTACATTTCTTTGTAAATAAATACTTATTCTAGTACTTGACTAGGATTCTAAAATTTAAAAAAAGCTAATCTACAATCACTATAAGCATTTTCATTAGGAATGGCCATCTCAGTCAGTTAGTCAATCAGTCAGTCAGTTACAACGTAGGATCAGGTACATAGGTGCGTCGGTCTAAGTTACCATACCGCATTAGCAAAACAAGATGAACAACGGATTCATAGAAGTAGGTTATTCAATGGTGGTAATATGTAAAAGAAAGATATGAAGTGATTTTAATCTCATCGTTTAAGGGAAGACAGAGAGTGTTGTATACACCTACGTCATTGTGATCGATTCTGATCCATGTCATCAAGAGTCTACAACCATTGGTCACGATAGTCACTCGGATCCCAACTAAGTAGTCTTCACCTACCAATATAGCTCAGACAAGAAGTTAGGGACTTCAAGCACTAATGCCACGTTTTGGTTTGGCCACCCCTAACTTTCTTTTAACCATCCCCTACACTAGTAAGCATTTCACGTTGTGGTAATCGGTGTTCAGGCATACGCAGAACGTGGCCCAACCGTCTCAGTTGATGAAGATTTACAACCTCATCAACTGATTTACCATCATTCCCTAATACCCTGCGTCTAATCTCACTATTACTTACCCTATGATCCAAGCAGATGCAAGCAATATTTCTAAGGCATTTGTGGTCAAATACTAGTAGCTTACGAATATCTTCTACTCTTAAAGGCCATGTTTCGCAGCCGTAAAATAGAACAGAACGAACTGCCGTGCAGTATACTCGTCCCTTAATTGACAGATGGATATCTCGCCTTCGCCATAGGTGACGTAAGTTGGCGAAAGCCGAACGAGCTTTTCAAATCCGTGCTGAGATTTCGTCCAACACCAACCCATTAGGGCATATCAGACTTCCAAGATAAGTGTAGTTGTCAACGTGTTCGACTAATTCACTCCCTATCCTTAGTTTAGGTGTTGACTCAGGCCAGTCCTGATATTACTCAGTTAGCCACACACCAAGCATGCTCAAACGCTATATGTTTCAATTTAATTAATAATAGATTTGAACTGTCTCGTTGTTAATATTATGACTGGATTGTAATCGGCCTTAGTTGGTATATACGTATCACATTGGAATCGCCTCGAAACACTTATCATAACACAAATTATACAGAATAGGTAGAATATGCATAGCAGTGAACTTCAGGATGTGTTTTTGATCCTGTTTGGGAAATCAAATCTGGAATGCGGGAACATCCTGGCTGACGATTCCTGAATAGGACGAAACGCATGACCTGGGTTCCACTGCTGTTTGGCAAAGGTCACTTTTTTTCAAAAACTAGAATTATAGTTGATTGACTTACTTATTAGTTAAAAACAATAATTCAAATCCATGAAGAATTTATAGAACAAAATGCTATTGTAGTGAACGAGAACACAAGGGAGGACAATAGGATATATTTCGATACAGAATTATAGAACATCTCAGTGAAATCTGAGAATCATACATTAGATTCTTCATTTGCAAAATCCCAATCAGTCGTCACAGACTCCATTGTTCCCTTGTTTCCATACCAATCATTCTCTGTTCTCATTCTCTTTTCTTTGATCTTCTTGACGTTCTGCTACTACGCATCTCACTTTCGATTGATGATACATACTGTAGTATGTGCTACTGATGTCAACAAATATAAGTAGTATGTATCATCCATCGAAAGTGAAATGCCTGGTAGCAGACGGTTAAAAAGACCGTATGGTAACGAAAGAACAATGAAGTCTGAGACAATTGACTAACATTTTGCAAATAAAATATTTCTACGTGGTTCTGAGATTTTATTAAGAGGTTCCGCAATTCGTTGTATTCAGGTGTACTCAATTGTCCCCACTTGTGTTCTCGTTACTACAATTCTACTTGTCTCTGTCAAAATCAGTAGCACACACCACACTTACTTAAATTTTGATGTAAAACAGAATTATCACACAAAATTTCTCATACACTGAATGAAAGCATGCACATATGCCAATAAGAGACTAATGAATTGCAGTCCTAACTATCAGTGAGAAGACTTCTACCTGAAGTTTGTGTTGATGATGTCGTTCAGAAAAACAAAGAATGCTCAACAATCAAACCATCCAACTCAGAGAACAAAACTCCGTCAACAAAAAGATTCAAGTAAATAATGTCAAGTGAATTTATACTTCATCTCATTGTACAAGCAAGTGGCTAAGTGGATAACACAATGTCGTTTAAAGCGAACTATGCCGGGTTCGAGGCCTGAAGTAGTCGTCTACCCAATGATACAGATAAATCCAGTTGGCGGGTCCCAAATAGGACAAGATCTAAAGAATAATGAGAAGGGAAATGAGGGTTTAGGAATTCTGATATTTAGTTGGTTGATCATTGAGAAATAATTTTTTTGGACAATTAGTGAGCTAGACAACGTCTGAACTATCTTGGTAATTGTATCAGTAAATCATAATTTGTCAATATCTTTTATTATAATAAACTGATATCAACACTCAATCTAGGACTTTAGAATCTGTGAAAACGATTGAAGGTTAGTGACGACTGATGAGTATATCGCATTTTATCACATATTGAATATAGTTGGAAATGTAAATAACTACACATCAATCCAATGGCATCATATTATTACAGTTTCTGTAAGGCCTAAGTGGTTTAATGGTATGCTGATAAACAGTCCCGAACTTGAACGAAATAAATGTCCAACGTTTCCTACTTTTTAGTTAATCCTATAAACAATTGATATAAAAGGTCTGCAGATATTTTTCGGTTCCATAGTTTGCATAACTAACTGATATTATTAAGATTTTCAGGTCTCACAGTGAGAGATTAACGTTTGTGGCACTTAGTTAACATCAAGTAAACAAAATTTCTAATTCGAATCAGTCAGTCAGTCAGTAACAACGTATAACTTCGTACGTATGTACATCAGTTCAAGTTGCCATAACACATTTGCACAGAGATGCAGTTGTCGATTCAAATCCCATAGTGGTAGAGATAGTAAAAATATAAACAGTAATCCGAAAGATTAGAGTTTGAAGATGTTATTCAAGGAGTATGATTCAGTGAAATAAATTTGTAAAGAGAACAGGTAAAGGGACATGAAGAATTCAGGAGATTAGAATTTAATAGTTCACAAAGAGTGGATGCATCTGCGTCATTGCAAACCATTTTGAGCCATGTCGTTCAAAGTCTCTAACCATCGGCTTTTATCATCTCGTGGTCCCCAACCAGGTAGTCTACACCTACCAACATGGCTCAGTCTATTTGTCATTGACTTCATTGATTTGTATCATGTTTTGATTTGGCCGCCCCTAGGTTTCGAAGACACCTATGATCAAATACTAGTAACCTACGAATATCCTCTACTCTTGCCGGCCATGTTTCACTGCCATGAAGTAGGAAGGAACGAACTGCTGCACAGCAAATAAGTTCTTTGGTTGATAAATGGATATCTCGAACACGCCATAAATGACTCAAGTTGGCCAAAGGTAGTCAAGCCCTCTGTATCCGTGCTGAGATTTCGTCACACACCAGACCACAAGGGATGATGACACTTCCAAGATAAGTAAAGCGGTCGACACGCTCAACTACTTTACTCCCTATCATTAGTTCGGGTGTCGATGCAACCCAATCCTGAAGCAAAATTTTGCATTTCGAGGGCGAGAATCGTATGCCATCAAGGACAAAGTTAAACAACAATGAATCAGTCGCAATATTGTGATCAAAGTTAGAAATATAGATCGTTGGATGTTATCACATTGATCTAAAGATTAGACATTTACCATATAACTTGAAGGTCATGATTTCGATAGAGTTTTGTTCTTTGAGCTGGATGGTTTGGTGGTTGAGCTTCCGTCGCTCTTCTGAACGTTATCATCATCACAAACTTCAAGTCGAATTCTTCATCATCTGAAGGTCATAAATTTGACCCCTTGTAAGTAATCTTGTCGAGATCTTTACTTCGATGAAAAAACCCTCCAGTATTTCTCCTATTTAAAAGTTTATTTAGCTAATATCATTACATCATATAAAGAAAGAAACTTTCTAAGTGATCTTTTGAATTTCTATTCGAAATTTCTTTTTTTTTTTCTTTCTTGATTGTATTATAAGAGGCAGAAACAGATTTAACAAATTGTCAAGAATCAACATGTAAATATGGGGGAACATGTACTGGTACATCTAAATCACCAAAATGTTTATGTAAAGATCATACACGTGGGAAACGATGTGAAAGACGTAAGTTAACGATTAACATCGATGTAATATTATCAACTGAGTTGTTTGTTAATTAGTGGATTGGAGTTTGAATGACTAAAAACGTTTTTAAAAGACTAGATACAGGTATCTACCTCAGTACAATGGATGATGGTTGCGCAATTTCGTGGATTAATTGAGGTTAGACCTTACCACTGTTAGATGCCAGTCCAGTGTTTCGAATGTTAAGCGTTCGCGCACGTAAGCGAAGGTACTGGGTTCGAATCCCACGAGCGGGGTCGTGGATGTGTATTGCTGAGGAGTCTCATACTAGGATGAAACGGCCGTCCAGCACTTCACCAGACAATACCAGTTTCTAACAGATTGCAGTTACGTCATTTTTACGAGTATCAACTAGTATAAGATCTAGATGGGACAGAGTTTCCAGTTGATTACCTTAAACCAATTAACACTTCAACATAGTAAAGTGATATGAAGTAACTCAGACTAGTGTCTACATTTCAGCTTGATTGATTGAATTCGATCAGCTCTAAATATTGGACAAATATAGCATTGACCAATACTCAGTGACCAATCGGTTCAAAGGTTGATTAATCTTGTGTAGAGATAAACATGTCCATTTACCATCCAGTAAATGGTAGGCAACCTGGTATACAATTTCTAACGTTATATAGATGAAATATAATCTCCGATGCAGGTTTCATGTTAGTTGCTGCACGTTAACCGAATTGTTTGTCCAATATCTGAAAGGGTGAGATCTATTCCCCCAGCAAGATTTCAACAGACCTCATTCAATTCCAAAATTGCAGATATTATCATTAAGTATTTCGGCTAAAGACTAGCATATAAGTTTGAGATGGAATAGATAATCAATGAACAATGATCGATACTCTATAGCACAAATTAATTGAAGTTTGAACTGGACCATCGGGTAAAGACCTAATGATTTAAATGGTTGAGTGTTCACTGGTAGATCTAGAGATCTTAAGTACAGTCCCTAATTAATTTATAGGCGAGAACCTATGGCGACTCCAATACTAAGATAAAATGGCAGTCCATCGCTCCTTAGCTTTCAGTTATACTAAATCTGACGTATACAACCTACGAATGTATCTATCGTTGGTATTTGATAAGTCTTGCAATTTTGAACGCTATACTGGATTCCTAAGCTATTCTGAAACCCCCAAGCTAGAACTATACAGCGACCTGAACACGAGAGAGAAGACGCAAATTATGCGAAAAGTACTTCACTCCAAGGTTCATTTTTGTACAGAAAAACATGGGTATTTATAGATGTTAACATTTGTTAAATCAACATCATATTTTGGCCAATCCGCTAAAAGATATATTATGCTACTGACCAATAGTAGCAAGCCACGTTGGCATTCTAGAAAGCTCCATCGTGCTCTGATTGGCTAAGACTCTTTGTCTCCTTCAGGGCCTCCGGAGGCTCTGTTGCGGTTCTCGGAAAGCCGACTTAACAGTTTTATTTAAGATCAAACGAACATAACCATTTTTGGATGGTTTGGATTCTTTATAGAGAACTTTCACTGAAGTCTACGATTTATTGAGATTTATGAGGAAATGTATTCACATTGACTGTATTCGAAGAAATTTCAAATAGAAAATAAAAAGCATTATTATCAAATTTGTATGGTGGCTAGTAGTAGAATCCAAGACACATGTTTCGTTTTCTTTAAGACTGCTAACCATCATTCATCTCTGTTTATAATGTTTGTGAATTAAAGCAATATCTAAGCACTTCGCACAGGATGTACTCACAATTGATTGATCACTAGATGGTGATCAATTCCATTTGTGTCAGGTCCTTCTTAATGCAGTTCAAGTGCTATTGACCATGTTGTAATGTGGTCACTAGTCTAAGTGATTCGACATTGCGTACAATATGCTGAGATAAGGTGGTAGTTGGAAGTAGTCAACAAGAAAGCCTGAACCCGGTTTTCGTGCTACATTATAAAAATGTTATCAATGTCTGTAAGTTTCTCTGTCTTTTTTTACAATTTTTCAGATGATCTTATATTTACCGTAGAACTTAAAATTTACGATAATGGTAAAGAAGCTGTCTGGCAAAAAGACTTTGAAGATAAGTCAAGTTATTTATCTACTGTAAAAGCATTAGATGTTTGTAAACTTGTAAGTTTTAATTGGAAGCTTCCATTTTGATAATTCATTAAATCAGAGAGGGGTTTTGTGAATATTATAGTAATTTATTAATTGAATTCATGAGTCAATTGAAGTTAGACTACCATGGAAAACTTGGGAGCACTGGAAGGCCGTTTCGTCCTAGTATAGGACTCCTCTCAGTGGTAGCTCGCTGATGACAATGATGGACGGTGGTGCCATTTTGTGGATTAGTTAAAGTTGGAGATTAACACCGTTGGATGCCAGCCGGCTCAGTGGTATAGAGGTTAAGCTCTCGCACGCGAGACTGATAGGTATTGGGTTTGAATCTCGAGAGGCGGTATCGTGGGTGTGCACTGCTGAGGAGTCCCACACTAGGAAGAAATGGCCTTCCAGGTTTTTCATGGTGGTTTAGCTTCAACTGGCACATGAATTCAACTACTAAATTAGTTAAATAACTAATTCTAATGCATTAAAAAATGCAATCATTTTAAATAGAATAAAAGATATTAAAGTAAGTCAAGTTTGATATAATCATTTAAATGTTGAAGCAGAGATGGATGGTGACTGACAGTGAAATACATAACGCTCATTTCGGCCAATTTTGAAATTGACAGCTGGATTTACCTGCATCCTACAGTCTATGTTCGCTGAGATACTCGAACTCACTACCTTCCGCTTCAAACGTCATAATGTTATCCACCCAGTTACTGAGTCGAAATAGCCACTGGTTTGTTCAACCAAGTGAATTTTAACTCCTATATATTGTTTGTTTGGATCTTACCACTAATGTTTAGGACTGCAAATGATTGCATATCCACATGTGTCAGACATTCGAATTAATTGCAGTCCTAGCCAACAATTGGCAGGTCTATTCACTCATTTGTGATTGTTGCCTCTCGTGAAGGGACATAGGTCGCTCACCAGCATTCTCCACACAACTCTGTCCTGGACAATCCTTTCTAGTTGTTTCCAATCACTATTTTTCCTTTTCATTTCTGCTTCCAATTCTCGACACAGTGTTTTTTTTTTTGGTCTTCCTTTTTTCTGTTTTTATTCAGGATTTCAAGCTAAGGCTTGGTTTCATGATGTAGTCTGACAATTTCCCCAATGTTTGTCTTATCCACTTCCAACTTCTTTTCCTAGTTTACTCTTCAGTTGGAAGCTGGCTTATTCTCTTTCACAGTAAGTTGTTGCTGATGGTATCCGGCCAACAGATATTGAGTATCTTGCATAGACAATTGTTAATAAATGCTTGTAATTTTTTGATGATGATTGTAGTAGCTCACAAAGTTTCAGCTCCATACAATAGGACTATCTTGATGTTTATATTGAAGATTATGACGTTGATATTGATTGACAGTTATTTTGACTTCTATAATATCTTCAACTGTAGGAATACCACCCTTTCTTTAACAATCCTTGCTTTTAAATCTGCATCATCAACAACAACAACCTCGTTTAGATGAAAGCGCTAACCAGGGAAGATCTAAACAACCAATATATATGAAGACAAATTAATCATTCTAACTGTTAGCATTGTTATCACTATTTATATATCGATTTGTACTTATACTTAGTATGATTGCATATGTAATCTGTTTTATTGTTATCAATAGCTCATAAACTACCACCATTGATTTATTATCTTTCACGTATGCATATAAGCATTACTGCAGATTAGAATAGGGTGTGATATGGGTCTCTCTCTCTCTCTCTCTCTCTCTCTATATATATATATATATATATATATATATATATATATATATATATATATATATATATATATATATATATATATATGTATAAGCGGCCCATGCTCCTTCGCGAGGAGTAACAGGCATAAGTAAGTAAGTAATATATTAGCAAAGTAAAATGGGCGTTTAGTGCTTTCAGGTTTTCAATGATGGTCTAATATTGATCAGTTCATGATTTCAATGATATACGTTATTAATATTTGTCAGTGAAGAGTTTATCTATGTAACAGATATATATTCATTTGTGACGGATCGATTGAGTAGGAATTAGAAGCAACGATTAGTTTCAGTTTAGGTACCATTGAAAACTATCCAGTAATGGATAACTAATTCGTCCCATTGTAATGAGTAAGAGAACATGTGGGGACGATTGAATGTAATTCAGCGCGAAATTACAGAATCTCTTATTAAAATCTGAGAACTATACAGTAAATTCTTAATTTGCAAAGTGTCAATCAATTGTCTTAAACTTGACTGTTCTTTTTGCAAATGTCAATCAATCGTCTCAGACTTCATAGTTCCTTCATTTCCACAGTAATCATTCAATGTTCTCGTTCTCTTTTCTTCTATCTACCTAACCTTCTACTACCAGACATTTCACTTTCGTTTAATGATACATCAGTAGCACACACCACATTAGTATTGAATTACTCAACAATAAATACTGATGACTACATAGGTGATCAAAACCTATAAATAAATATGAATTAACCGACTGATATAAAACAGATTAGACAGAATATGACATAATCCTTTTAGATATTGATTTTCTTTCAATCTATATCTTGTTATCAACCAACCAATCTGTTATAACTGTAAGTAACTTTTATATATATGACTTCATCCTAATTATTAGTCAAAATGGGTGTACAATCAATATATAAATACGAGTAATTTGGACTATCTTCATTGTCGTCGTCGTGTTCTGTGGTCAATAAATGTTTACTTATACCAGTCTTTGTGTTCTTACTTTTGTGTCTTAGCTATGTTGGTAGATGTAAACTACTTGGTTGGGGTCCACGTGACTATCGTAAACAATGGTTAGAGACTTTCGGTGACATGGCTCAGAATCGATCACAATGGCGTCGATGTATATACACTCTGTCTTCCTTTAAACTATGAGATTAAAATCGCTTCTTTTTTTCTACGTACTAATTCTTTCTTCCTGTACTAGATCCTTATACACAATCGTTCTTTTATATATTACCACCATTGAATTAACTACATCTATGAATCCGTTATTCATATTGTTGTGCTAATAAGACATGACAACTTGGATCAATGCACATATATACATGATCCTACGTTGTAGTTGATAGATTTTCGTGTCGTAAAAATTACACAATTCCATCATTTCGAACATAAATGATAAACATTCCTAACATAACCGCCAAATGCCCTGGTACGGCCGAGAGTGGGGAGAGTCCGCTCACCCTCTCGAAATGCTGTCACATGGCCACGCGTATATAGCCTCTGCCAGGCAAGTCCTACTCACTGCCTTCTCGTGGCTGGGGTGTTGTTTACGAAATTGAGAGGACGAAAAACGAATGTCCGGCGATTTAACCGGATCCCAAACCAATGGTGCACATGGGCTAGCTTCAGTATCCTAAAGGAACAAATGGCGTATGAACCAATCGTTGGTCACCGGCTACTATGGGACTTCATCTCTTTGCAATGCTCCACTGCCTTGTGGATCAGACCTTCAGGTCGAAGGCGCCGATTGTGGCCCCCTAAGAAAACCACCTACTTCGGTTTGTTCACCCGGGCAGTGTCGCAGCCCTCACACATATCAAATGAGATCTGTGTAGCGCATATATATTTGGTGCCTCTTGTACCAATATCTCTGTGTTAAAATAAAATAAAATAATTTCCAACATAACAATCAACAATGATCAAATATAACAAGTAGTGTTCATTCTGACAAAACATATCATAATCAATAATCACCATAGTAACTGACACAATTTATTGTTATAATCTTATTTTATTTACCTTTTTTTTCTTTTTCTCTTTGTTGTTGTTGTTGTTATTGTTATTTAGCTTAAATTAAGTATCATTCATGGATCAAATCTACAATTATCTAGTTCATTTATTGATTGTCATTTAATAACTTATCATAAAATATCTGTAATTATAGAAGTTGCATTAATATTAGATATAGACTTATCATTGATTTCATTGATAACATCAACATTAATACAAAATCAAATTATCACTGGATTAAAAACAATCGATAAAAGTTTAGATGAATTCAAAACTATTTCAATTAATGATATTATTTCTGGTAATTCATCAACATTTAAAGTTTATGGTAAGTACTACTTATTATGAATATTAATAGTAGTAGTAATAATAATAATAATAATATGAATAATCATTTCAATAATTAAGATTATGACTCAATTGATGTTAGACAACCATTGAAAATCTGCAAGTACTGGATAGTTAGTTTCGTTCAATTATAGGATTCTTCAATTGTACACATCTACAAACCAGACTTGCAAGATTCGAACTCAAAACCTATTGATCTCATTCACTCTGGTACGACCAAGATTAAGGAGAGTTCACTATCTCTCATCAAATGATCTCACATAACCATGCGTATATAGCTTTTGCTATGGGAAGTCCTACTCAATGCGTTTTCTCGGTATTATTGTTATTTACGAAATCAGAAAGAACAAGAAGCAAATGTCCGGCACTTTAACCGGGTTGGTGGACACAGAGGGTTCACCTAGGTAGGTTGGGAAATCCTGATTCCAAACCAATAGTGTACATGGGACACAGGATTCTGAGGGAACAATTGGCGTATAAACCTATTGTTGGTCACTGGCTACGGTGAGACTGCATCTCCTGAAGTTGCTCTATCGCTTTGTGGATCAGATATTTGGGTCGAAGGCCCCGGGTGTGGACCCCTAAGAAAACCACCTACTTTGGTCTGGACACCCAGAAAGTATCACAGCCCACACACACAAATAAAGTGACTTGTATGGCGCATATGTATTCGTTTCCATTTTCTACCAATATTTATGTGTTCAATTCAAGTAATGTTATTCTTCATGCTAATCGAATCATATAGATCAAATTATAATGTGCCAACTGCTAGTCTAAACGGTTTTGATATCACGTGTACATATTTTAAATGTCATGTAATCAGACGTAGTTGGTAAGAAACTCTGATTGACCTGAGTCTCTCAGCATTTGACATCAGTCATCACGGCTCGAAATCAAAAGATCTCATACATCAGGAGAGATTAGATTTCACGTCAACTAGCTTCACAGTTTGAGACATCATCACTGAGCTATTCGAGTCATAACTAATCTCTCATTAACACAAATAAGACACTAATACACTTTGTTTTGTAGAGATTGTAGTAATTTAATAATTGAATTCATGATTCAATTCAAACTAGATCAACATCGAAAACCTCTCTCTGAATATAATCATCATATGCTCACAAGTGACTATCTCCAAGAGATATTTCCTGGAGTTCTAATAAGAAGCAGTGATCAGTGTAGTTCAACTGGGTCTTTTGTGAGATAGTGGCTCAATTTCGTGGTTTGTTTGAAGTTAGATATTAACACTGCTGAACATCGGCTAAATGGTCTAGAGGTAAAGCTTTCGCGCGCGAGACTGATAGCTTCTGAGTTCGAATCTCAGGGGGGCGGGACCATGGATACGCACTGTTAAGAAATTCCATACTAGAATGAAGAATATAGTTTGAGAAGAAAGATATAAAGTATCAAATAACCTTTAGTAACATGAGTACAAGTGTTTTTGTGTTAATCATGATCAGTTTATGCTTTATAGTTTTGTCGGTGACCTACAATCTCGTTTACAGGTTCTCATTAACTTTTTTTAAAAAATTCGATCAAGTCCTTCTTAGTGCAGACCGAATGCTGTCGACCAAATTGCAATGTGGACACTAGTTTAGGTGACTCAACATTGTGTGCACTATGTTGAGATAAGATACACATGACATTCATCACCACCCAGTGATCAAACAATTGTGAATACAACTCAGTCCAACAGGAGGTCAGTCGCGGTCCAGTGGTAACGTCTCTGACTTTGAAACTGGGTGACACGGGATTAAATCCGTCAGGGAGTACCAGTTTCTTCAAGATTACGGGTACACCTTGCTAATGAGTGCCAAATAGCACGAAACCTGGGTCCAGGGTTTCCTGTTGACTATCTCCAACCATCATCTAGTTTATAAAAGTTATTGATATTCCGACTTGAGCTGAACATTTGTTGAGAGCCAGGAAGCATTGAACAGTTGTCTTGTCCCAGTACGAAACTCTACAGCAGTCCGTATATACAACTTTATCACAGAGGATCAGACCCAAGAATTTCTGTCTCCCTATCATAGACTTAACCTCTATTATCTAACAGTGTATATGTCCAACTTCAACCAATTCATAATATTGAACTTCATTGGTCATGGCTTCCCATTGGAATATCAGAATTACAGTTTGAAATTAGTTACTAATGAGCAAATGTTAATTATCAACAAAGAGATTTATGGAAGATCTATGCAACAGCCAACATAAACTTCAATAACTAAATGATATAAGTACTTGATAAAACTATTGGCTTTCATAAAATAGGTTCAACATTAGTGCATAAAAACCATCACCAATGTTATGAACTAAAACTTTTCTTTACTTTCCATTCTTATTTTCTACAGTTCATGATCCTTGTAAAAACGGAAATCATGATTGTTCAATAAATGCTAAATGTATTGTACAACCACAAGGTACTTATATATGCGAGTGTAATCCTTTTACAATTGATGCATCATTTGACGCTAATTATCCTGGACGACGTTGTATGTGTAAGTATTGATTTGATCTAATAATGGTCATGATTGTAATCACAAATTGATATAAGTTAGATAACTATTGGAAATGTGTGACTCCTTAGTAGCGACGCATCCGCCACTTCACAACTGGGAGTCGAACCTAGGATTTTCAGCCTTGTGAGTAAACGATTATCCTGTAGGCTATTGAGCTCGATTCCAATGGTATACAAGTTTAACTTCAATCAATCTGTTTTTGGTGAGTACCTTCCTCATACTCGACAAGGTTGAATTCTATTGGTTGCAGCTTTGCATTAAAACGCTAGAAACCCATAATGACAACAATGATAACAATGGTAATAATAATAGGTGGTAGTCAGAAAACTCAAATTACATAGAGGACGAAGTGCTAAAGAAGACTTGGTAAGTATCACTTCCATAACTATCGTTAACAGGTCTTTAGTGCATATGATAGATCATCTCAAAGAGGTTCCTTCCAGTGCGTGAGAAAACGACAGGTCACAATGATATTACTACTTATACGACAGTATGTGTAGCCGCGTACCACAATATACACAGATAACTGGAGACCATATGAATGCTCACATACACTTGGTTACGTGCATCGTAGACCCCACCACCGGAGTACACAAAAATAATATAGACGCAATGTGACTGAGACTAAAATAATTTTCGCTAACTTATCATGGCTCCAGAGGTCGATTATTATGGAGTCACATGGATGAGTTCCTGTATCGTGTACATTACGATTTTAGAACTGCAGAGCCTCTCCATAATGTTGAAAAGTTTTTAAAGCAAGTTACAGAAGTGCGTCCACTCTAAATTTTTTGGTTTTTTATAATATATTCTTACTCCATACTGACTGTTTTCCAATTTACTGAAATTTCTCAATGTCATTTGGGATTCTTTCCAAGGTCATCCGTAAATTCTTATCTTGCTGGTGAATTCAATTGATGATTCCCAAATAAGATGAAAAATATGTCTTGGATCCCACTACTATACACGATCCAGCTATTGTAAATAAGATTGATTATCATATCGATTATAAAGAAAATTCCCTTGGAATTAAAGACTTTTAGGAATGGTCTGCTATGGTTCCATAGTTTAATGTAACCAAACTTTGATCAACATTCCTCCATATTTTCCTACTAGGTATGGTTAGAGATTTGATAAATGTTACTACAACCGTATTTTAACGTATGGTTCATGACATATAGCGAGACGTTCAGTGGCCAACACAAGATCACTACTCACGCTTCATAAAGTTGAAAGATTTAATGATATTCATCTCATTTTAGACTGTAGTTCATTTATAAGCGGAGATGAATGGTGGCTAACAGTAGAATACAGAATTCACGTTTCGCTCTATTTCGTACTCAACATCTGGATGTACCTGCATTCTACAGTACATGTTCACTCCTGTACTCGAGCTCAGTATCCTCCGCTACAAATACCACTAGCTTATCCATTTAGATACTGAATTCAGACAACCACTGGTTTGTGCAACAGAATGAATTTTAATTGATGCGCATTAGTTTTTGAAATTTAATGATTAATTATGGAGTTATAGAATTAATAAGAGTTTCAATGTTAGTAGTAGTAGTAGTATTAGTAGTAGTAGTAGTAGTAGTAGTAGTAGTAGTAGTAGTAGTAGTAGTAGTAGTAGTAGTAGTAGTAGTAGTAGTAGTAGTAGTAGTAGTAGTAGTAGTAGTAGTAGTAGTAGTAGTAGTAGTAGTAGTAGTAGTAGTAGTAGTAGTAGTAGTAGTAGTAGTAGTAGTAGTAGTAGTAGTAGTAGTAGTAGTAGTAGTAGTAGTAGTAGTAGTAGTAGTAGTAGTAGTAGTAGTAGTAGTAGTAGTAGTAGTAGTAGTAGTAGTAGTAGTAGTAGTAGTAGTAGTAGTAGTAGTAAGTAGTAGTAGTAGTAGTAGTAGTAGTAGTAGTAGTAGTAGTAGTAGTAGTAGTAGTAGTAGTAGTAGTAGTAGTAGTAGTAGTAGTAGTAGTAGTAGTAGTAGTAGTAGTAGTAGTAGTAGTAGTAGTAGTAGTAGTAGTAGTAGTAGTAGTAGTAGTAGTAGTAGTAGTAGTAGTAGTAGTAGTAGTAGTAGTAGTAGTAGTAGTAGTAGTAGTAGTAGTAGTAGTAGTAGTAGTAGTAGTAGTAGTAGTAGTAGTAGTAGTAGTAGTAGTAGTAGTAGTAGTAGTAGTAGTAGTAGTAGTAGTAGTAGTAGTAGTAGTAGTAGTAGTAGTAGTAGTAGTAGTAGTAGTAGTAGTAGTAGTAGTAGTAGTAGTAGTAGTAGTAGTAGTAGTAGTAGTAGTAGTAGTAGTAGTAGTAGTAGTAGTAGTAGTAGTAGTAGTAGTAGTAGTAGTAGTAGTAGACACAATACGATTTGATAACAAAGAATGAAACCATGGAGTAAAAAGTATAAGTATTTTAAGAGAAAGCATGAATGTATCTGTGCTATTGCAACTGATTCTGATCTATATCATCCATCTTGAACGATTTGATTACGATTGTGGTTCAAACCCCAACGAGATAGGCTACACCTGTTAATATTGCTTACAATAACAGTTATTGATTCTATAAACGGATTCAATGTTTTTATTTGACTTCTAACTTTTCTTCAACAGTCTTCTGCTCCAGCCATCATTCTATATCAGGGTAGGCAATGATATAGCATACTTATTACATATTCTAATCATCCTATTTAATGACATTTTATTGCCTCTTCAATCGATCTGTCATTTTTACCTAGTATTTCACATCTGAATATAACATCGTTCACTCGATAATCTTAACATACCAGAACACTAATTTGAAAACATTTGGGATTCAAACCCAGCACCATTCTCTTCAAACGTCATCAAGTTATTCACTTAACCAAAGTGAACGTCAACTCTGAGATGTAAATACATCCAGCTGACTAGTCCCAAATTGGATAAGACGTGCATTCTATATTCCACTACTAGCCACTATCCATCTTTACTTATCTATTATATTTGTTTATTTTTTTTAATACTATTTCAGATGATGGTTTAATTATATTAGCATTTGCTATTATTGGTGGCCTTATTTGTACTCTTACTGTACTTATTTGTGGATGTCGTCGAACAATATGGCGAAGATATCGTCGTGGACCAGAATCTATTGATTTAATTAATATGCCAAGAAATTATGATATTTAAAGAAGAAGAAAAAGAAGAAAAAGAAAAAGAAAGACGCCTGATTTGTTTTGTCATGTGTTTGTTTATTTGTAAAAATAAAAGAAAAAACAAACAAACAAACAAACCTGAATACAAATTTCCCTTTTAATTAACAATACATGTATAATGTAAATGATATTTATCTATTCAGAACTAATTGTTCATTATAATGAACTTATTACCATGTCTTCACTCAATCACCTCCCTCCCCCCCACACACACATACACACACACACTAAGTATTCACAAATGCACGTATATATACTCATTCATGTGAATAGTTCAGAGAGAGAGAGAGAGAGAGAGACAGAAGAGGAAGGGGGCGAGGAAAACTTGTTCTCCATTTCTATTTTTTATTTTTTTTATTATGGTTTGTACTATTATTATTATGATTATGATTATTTTTTACCACAAACAATTATTGATTATCTTCTCAAGATACATTTTATGTATTTCAATGTATTCAGTGTGTTGTTTTAATTGTATTGGTCAGTTGTCAATGGATCTTGTTATTTTTTAAAAAAAGAAAAAGTTGCTTTTTTTTTCTTAATTTAGTAATATCTTAATTTTAATAGGTGAGATCATGAGTCAATTGCAGTTAGACCATCATGGAAAACCTGGAAGCATTGAATGGTCGTTTCATTCTATTGGAGGACTGTTTAGAAGTGCGTAGCTATGATCCCGACTTGAGGGATTCGAATTCAGAATCTATCGCTTAATCTCTAGATCATTGAACTGATATCCGACGGTGTTAATGTTTAACTTCAATTAATGCACGAAATTATGCGACACGTTCATCATTGCCTTCGGTAATATTTACTTACGTTAGTTACACCACTTAATTGTTAGACATTGCGTCTTCATTATCATTGTGTGGTCTCAATTCAATGTTGTTGTTTTTGTTGTTGATAATGATCATGATGTTGATGATGAAAAATTGTAACCGAAGAATAAATGAATCATTTAAAATAGAAGAAACAAGGGAGAAGAAAGAGCCATGATAAGGTTGCAAAACCTTGTTCAACCTCAACCACATAGCTTCAATATTGTTTGTGTGTACTTCGGTTGTTGGGTCCACAAAATGCCGCTTGTGGATAAAGACAAGGTGCATATAACCAAGTCTATGTAGGCATCTGTATGCTCTCCAATCATCCGTATATATTGTAGTACCTGGCTGTAGCTTAAGTTACTAGTTCTTTTATTATCCAGTTCGCAACAATTATCATAATCTGCTTCAGTCTCAATCTGGATCGAGCGAAAAATATCCCCGTTTTAGCAAACTTTTTCCTCCAGCACATATTACATCGAATTACAACACCATCACGATGGACTTCACAATATCCAACAGTCATTTGAACACCACAATCACAAAGACAGGAGCTTCTTAGTAATTCCATATGTTGTAGCCACTTAACTGTAATGTCCTACTTGGGATCCGCTGTAAACCGATCATACGTGAGCATCAGGTATTGAAATTGGAGCCGTGACATTGAAATTACTCAAACGCTTCAGACTGGCTCGTCCATAAGTTATAGTCTCTCCATAGTGAATATTTATCTATACTATTTAATTATTTTGATAGTAGGTAAAATGCTTACCAATGGTTTGGGGACAAATTTGGCGATTTCATTATTTATGAACGAACCAATCAGATATAAGATAACAGTCTTGAATTTTCATGCGAAATTCATTCATCCATTTGGTTAAATGACATTTTAGCATTTTAGCAGAATTCATAGTCTAACACTGTCATGTGAAATTCTTTATAGTTGTTTCCAATTGCTATTCGTCCTTTGAATTTCTGCTTTCAATTCCCAGCTCAGTGTGTTATTGAGCCTTCTTCTTTTTCGTTTCCATTCAAACTTCCAAGTTAGGGCTTGCCTTGTGATTCAGTTTAGTGATTTTCGTAATGTGTGTTCTATCCACCTCTAATAAATTTTCCTTGTTTCCTCTTCAGCCGAAAGCTGGTTTGAGCTCACCCACATTCAGTTTTTATTGATGGTATCCAGTCAATGGACATTAAGTATATTGTGTGGACAATTGTTTATAAATACTTGTACATATTTGATGATGATTTTGATAATTCTCCATGTTTCAGCTCCGTACAGTTAAACTGTCTCGACGTTCGTATTGAAGATTATGACTTTGATATTGGTTAACAGACAGTTGTTTTAAGTTCCATATGTTCTTCAATTGTAGATATGCTGTCCTTGCTTTTTCAATCCTCGCTTTTACGTCTGCATCAGATCCTTCTTGTTTATCGACGATGCTAATCAAATTCTTTCATCCTAGAAATCATTAACTTTTTTAAAATGTTAATTAGTTTATCTAAAGATTAGTTGATGAATACAGGAATAACAGACAATAATTTTATTGAAAATCAGTATTGTCTCATTCGTGTAAACCTGTTTTATTAGTCAATTTAGCCATATCTATCGACAGATGACTATCAGAGAAACGTCTTATCACTTATTGCAACATAAAGATCAGAACGGATATTGAAAGAAGACTTATTAAGCCACTGTTAGTCAACCATCATTATATATATGTAAGTGTCTAGGAAGAGTTCATATTATTTGTGTTGTTATATTATGAAAATGGCTCACGGGTGAACTTGGGGAAGCTCTACGAAGCTCAAAAAGAGCTGAAGATATTCCATCCAATTACCTTTTGGAAGAACATTCCACAATCTCGACGTGTATCTTCCATATTGGATAAATGCTAAAAAAAAACCCTGTATGTGAATTGGATAACTATAATGATGATTTTGTTTTTACTATAAAAAACTATAAATCCCTGAAAGTTTTGTGCCATATTTGATGCTCTTTCGGAATAGCATTCCTACTCCCTCTCTTCACATTTTGCAACTTGAAGGGTTCTAGCATTCGATTACTCAAGTTGTATGCGGTCTATCAAAGAATCTAAGATTTAAATATAACACCTTTTTTTAAAAAAAAGGATGACATCAATGACCTTTACTTCTTAATAAACATTCTGTTTCCTCCATCTCCTATTGATAGATGAATTATCAATGTTAAAATGTTATTCTGTAACAGAATTCAAGTTTGTATTTACTCTCATTTATTCTTAATTCTTTATAGATACGACAATACACTTTTAATTTAATGAATGAAAATAGATACAATCAAATTTAATGAAAGAATACCTTAAGAAGAATAAGATTATTGGCAGGGTTTCTATTTAAGTCAATGTTAGTTTATCAAATCATAATTGTTATATAAGTTGAAGGAATTTTTTGAACGTGTAAACAACGTGTCACTGTTAATCTTTATCTATTCGGATTGTTCTTTATCATCTATTTAAGCTATAAATTTATTACCATCTGGTTTTCTTGAATAACCACCATTTGTTGCTTGAGTATGATTAGCATCTAAATAGAATGAGAAGAAATTTATATATATAGTT